TTATCTTTTTCTCTATTTAAAACATCATTAGCCAAAATATTAGGTATAAGTTTTAAATAGAGAAAAAGATAAGTCTTAAGTTATGTGAAAATTAAATAATACATTGACAATTGTTATTGGAATGATTGGGGAGAAGCAGCTTTTGGGAACAAAATAAATAATACTTTCAGCATATGAAATTTGAAATGTCTGTGAAATATCCAACTGAAAATATTAAGCAAGTATTTGAATGTCCACATTTGGGTTTAAATAAAAACATAATGCTGAAGATATCAATTGGGCAATCAGAAATACACAGATGTAGTTTAAAGCCACAGGACTGCAGGGAAAGGTCACACAGGAATTGTTTGTAGCTAGGAAGGGGAGTCTTTGGATTGAACCCAGGTGAAGTCCAATAGTTAGAGGTCATGAAGAGAATGAGAATCCAGCAAAGCAGCTTTAAAAAAGAAAAATATGTAAGGAAGAGATCCAAGAGAGAGTTGAGCTCTGCGAACTAAGTCGAAAATGCTTTTCAAGAAGGCAGGAACATTTCGAAAGCTTTGGACTGAATACTGATCATTAGATTTGGCAACAGGGATGTCAGTGGTGAACTTAGTAAGAGCAGTTATTGGTTGAACCTGGGTGATTAAAGCCTAAAGCAGACTGAGAAAAAAAAAAAATAGGAAACTCTTCTGTTTACAGCCACTTGGGAGTAGCAGGTATTACAGTAACCTTCTCACAATAATGAATTTGAGACAAAATATACAAAATAGTTATTTTCAGACTGAATAACAGGCAGTGTGCATCTGTGATCTATGAGGGTGAGGAAACCAGTGAGATAAGCACTAAAACAAACTACACTTTCTGTCTAAAGGCATTTATCAGATCCTGGTGCAGAAAAGGTAATTCAGTCAGCTCATGACAGTTTTACTGAGCAGAGAAGATAGAGATCTGAGTTGAAAGTGGGGGAAGTCTGAGAAGGAAGGAATATATATAGCAAAGTACCAAGAAGAAGGAGATATGCGAAGAAAAAATTCCAGTAATCTGTGTAGTGGTGTCATTGACTTTGTCTGAATAATCATATACAGGATGAGACTTTGCGAGGCTGTTGCCCGTATTCCTAACCAGAAGTGACAATAGTTTGGATTCAGGTTGTGGCACTGGGGCTGGAGAGAAGTGGACATATTAAAGCAGTACTTAGAGGCATAATCAACAAGATTTGAGAACTGACTAAATGTAAAGTAAACAAGACAGAGGAGTTGAGGGTTTGGTGTCTGGTACTGTCTTCCTCTGGGAAAAGAAAGGATTGCCAGTAGGAAGATGAATTCAGTTTGGGATGAGAATGTTGAAGGACAAGTGAAAGGAGAACTTTTTCGGGAGCCAATGATCTACAAAGTAAATGTTGCCATGGGTCAATGAAAATGAGAATAACAAGTTGTACACATCCATTATGCAACAATCAAACCTACTCTAAGAATCAGATCTATAGTTACTTTTCTCTACTCATGTTATTTCATAAGTTCTAGAGTGAAGATTAATGCCTATAGTTTGTGACTTTACAGCTCATGATTTTCCTAATTACTTTTTAAAAATTAACTAGACTTTGTTTTTTAATAGGAGCTTTAGAATTACAAAAAAATTAAACAAAAATATGGAGAATTTCCATATATCGCCCCCTATACCCATTTTCCCATTTTTAACATCTTCCATTAGTGTGGTACATTTGATACAAATGATGAACCAATATTGATACATTATTTAACCAAAATTCATAGTTTACTTTAGGGTTCACTTTTTGTGTCATATATTGTATGAGTTTTGACAAATGTATAACCGTATCCACCATTACAGTAGCATATAGAATACATTCAGAGCCTTACAACTCTCCTCTCCTCCACCTATACATCTTTCCATCCTCTCTTGTCCCCTCCAGCCTGACAACCACGGATCCATTTACTATCTCAATAGTTTTGCCTTTACAGAATTTCATATAGTTGAAATCATGCAGTATATAGCCTTTTCAGATTGCCATTTTTCTCCTAGTGATATGTATCTGAGGTTCTGCATGGTTTTTTTGTGGCTTGATAGTTCACTTCATTGCTGAATATTCCATTGTATGGAAGTGTCTAAGTTTGTTTATTCATTCACCTCTTGGTTATAAAGGACCAAGGACCTCTTGGTTACTTCCAGGTATTTGCAATTATGAATAAAGTTGCTATGAGCATTTTGTGCAGGTTTTTGTGTGGACATACATTTTCAAATCATTTGGGTAAAACTAAGAGCCCTATTTGCCGATTATATGACAAGGGTATATTTAGTTTTGTAAGAAACTGCATGGTTCAGGGGTCAGCCAAAGATGCATAAATTTATTCACAAAATTTGTGATTTAGCTTCTCTGCCTCTGCCTTTTCCTGTCTCCAGAGGCCCTGTTTGCCCCGGGCTCCATTCTCTAGTTCTTCTGGCTGATCTGCTGTGAAGTTTTAGCCAACCCAAGCTGCTGTGCTAGCCACAGCTTCCCTCAGGTCAGAGCACCAAAAACAGGGAAGTTATGACATGTAAGATATTTTCTCCAAGTTTTTACTCTCCTCTAAAATCTGCTTACTTTAGTTCATTTTACAGAACCCTTATGTGATTATTCTGTAAATTTTATCTAGAGTTTATAGTTGTTACCTGCAGGAAGGACAATTTATTAAGCACTTACTCTTCCATATGGGTAGATCTCCTAGCCTCCTCTATGTCCCCTTCCATTATTAATGTTATGCTTGTTGCTGGTGCCAGCTGGCAAATCTCAGTTTAAACTCTTGCTAAGAAATTTATACTTGTTCTTTATCTTTTATCACTAATGATATTACTTCTCTTATTACTAAGATGATACACAAAATAAGAAAAACAACTTGTTTATTCAACAGTAACTAACTGCCAAGCTCTATTAAAATTGTACATGTTCTATTTCCCCGTAGCAATTCTGTGAGATAGAAAGAATCTGCATTTTACAAATGAGGAACTTTAATTTGTCCCAATACACTTAGGTATTGAAGGACAAAGCAGAGGAAAACCCTGGTAAAAATCCATTATCTTTAAAACCACACCAAACTAAATGAAATAAAAGTTAATAAAATAAAAACCTGTATGTTCATATTTTTTAACTTAGTGGTTTACTTTCTATTTTTTTCTTTTCATTTAAAATATTGTACTTCTAGTGAAAGAGAAATAACAACAATCCTCCACTAAATTATCTACAATCCTTCAACCTCAGATTTAAAGGCATGTTACATGAAATAACAGATACTTGCTTGATGAACCTTAGTAGGCATTATTAGGCTTACCATAATGTTTTGAATATTTGCCTGAGATGCATATTGTCCACTTAAGCCATTCTGGCCTAATATTCATCAAGTTTCATGTAACTTAAAGTTACTGTCTTAATTTGGGCTGCCATAACAAAGTAACACACACTGGGTGGATTGTAAACAACAGAAATTTTATTTCTCACAGTTCTGGAATCTGGGAACTCCAAGATCACAGAAATGGCAGATTCATTGTTTGGTGAAGACCTGCTTCTTGGTTCATTGACTGTTGTTTTCTGGCCACATCCTTACGTGGCTGAAGGGGCAAGGGAGCTCTTTGGGGCTTCTTTTATAAAGTCATTCATGAGGGCTCTGTGCTCATGACCTGATCACCTACCAAAGATCCTGTCTCCTAGTAGCATCACAATGGGGATAAGGATTTCAACATATGAATTTTGAAGGGCCACAAACTTTCAGTCCATAGAAGTTACTAACATCAACAACATTTTTCAGCATTTGGACAAATAGTCCCTCATATTTACCTGTATTTTTGATCTTCCTTTTCTTTACTTAGCAGTGTTGTCAGAGAGAACTCTTCCCATGATGACAGAAATGCTCTGTATCTCCACTGTCCAGTATGGCAGCCACTAGCCACATGCACCTTTTAGCATGAATGTGCATAGAGCACATTTGCGCTTCCTTTTCAAAAATGTATTAGCTAACCTGTGGCATATTTCTCTAATAATTTACCTTGTTTTAGTCAATTTATTGCATTATTTATGGGGTGACTACTGTGCATAAGATTTCACGTTATGCATGATTTTGATTTTCTTTCTCAGTCTTAGCATTTTCTTTAAAAATTTTTTTGATATATTTTGTTATATCTGAGAGTTCTTTTTCTCCAAACATACACGTGCACATACACACATGCTAAGTAAAAATTCTCTTACCTTTACTGTCACATAAAAAAGTAAAATAATATGTCCTCTACAGGTATAGTCATGTAGTTGTTTTCCTTTCATCAGTCTTTCTAAGTAAGTTCATATTTTAAGCCCATTTTTTTCTCTGTGAAAATTCCTTTAATAAACTATTAGTTGTGCTACAATTCTAAAGGATTCTGACCACAGGAATTTTCAGGGGAAGTTATTTTTAAGTCTGTCTAGGTACTCTCCTCTTAATCTCTGCTAATGTTCTAAGTGCTGGTGTTTAGCTCTGATTTAATTATTATTAATCTCTTTTATAGAAATAATAAGTGTCCTTAAAAATAAGTTCTGGCCGGGCGCGGTGGCTCACGCCTGTAATCCTAGCTCTTGGGAGGCCGAGGCAGGCGGATTGCTCAAGGTCAGGAGTTCAAAACCAGCCTGAGCAAGAGCGAGACCCCGTCTCTACTATAAATAGAAAGAAATTAATTGGTCAACTGATATATATAGAAAAAATTAGCCGGGCATGGTGGCGCATGCCTGTAGTCCCAGCTACTCGGGAGGCTGAGGCAGAAGGATCGCTCGAGCCCAGGAGTTTGAGGTTGCTGTGAGCTAGGCTGACGCCACGGCACTCACTCTAGCCTGGACAACAAACCGAGACTCTGTCTCAAAAAAAAAAAAAAAAAAAGTTCTTACAATAAAGTTTTATGCTTAATTTTTAACTGTAGGTGTGACTGAACAAACTGATGATTTTCACTTCATATACATAAAAGTTTTAATGTATCTCATGATATTTTGATTTTGATCATTTCAGGATCACCAAACAATTTTGAGAGCATGGGCTGTGAAGGATTTTGCTCCAAATTGCCCTTTGTATGTCCAGATACTAAAGCCTGAAAATAAATTCCATATTAAATTTGCTGGTAAGTTTTTATCTTGAATGAGATCCATTGAATTTCCTCAAATTCCCATTGCAATTTAAGAGTTATGTTTCTGATGTTAGTGGAAACTTAATATATTCAAGAGTACATAGAACTGAAGAGGATTTCTTTTAAAGCATTTACTTATTAAAGAGGATTTCTTCATATATGAAGAAATATGTGATAAGATGATATTTTGGGATGAATCTTACTTTTTTATATAACTTGATGATTTTAGCAGCTGAACTTTCTAGATACCTTAATAAGCCTAATAGATTAGCAGTGGTAGATGTGTGCATAATATAGACACAGATTTGAAGTACTATATCTGTTCATTTATACTTTGGTTTACACATAGATAATACTTTGCTATAGATTATTTAATACATATATAAACTTATACACTAGGGTAATATATTACAATGTATTCAGGTATATTTATATAGATTTAATTTGGAGGGTAGACTTTGAAAAGAATTCAAGAAAAAGATATATATGAGTTGTTTTTTGGAGACACTCTTATTAAAATAATTCATCACATAGCATTATGCTTTGAACTGTTAGGAAATTGTGCAGTAAAGTGGTACTTGATTTTTTTCTTTAAGGCTTCTATGGGAGAAAGGAACTAATTTTGAATTAGGCAGTAATTTATGTACATGTTTATTTCCCCAAACATAATGACCTTGTTGTGTTTTATATTATATTCTATCTTAATAGTCTAAATATTCAAGTCATTGCAAGGTAATTCAGTTTAGCAATATGTCAGCAAAACATATTTCCTTCAGAAATTGTGTTTACATGTCTTAAAATGCTTACCTATTAATGTATGATATTGAAATAAAAAATTATAAACTCTAAGAATTTTAAAGTAATGATAAGAAAACCATGAAATAGTTGCTGTCCAATTTTCTCTCTCGTATATCTTCTAGCATGCCCACAAATGATGTCATCAATTTTTTTTTCTAATAATATATAGCAAACAACTTAAAGTAATGGCTTCCAACTTTGGATGTATATTAGTATGTCTTTGGAAGAATTTTTAAAGAACTGATTACAGAGATTCTTATTTATATAGTCTGAGATGGTGCCAGGGTTCCTCTAAGCCTTTTTCCTAAACTGAAAAGTAAAAATTAACAGTACCTCTTTTGTAGCAGACTTTGTGAAATTAAATGGAAAAATATATGGGAAATGCTTCAGCTATAATTAGCCTTCATTAAATGTCAATTGTTTATCTGCAAAACCTTTATATCTAAGCTGTCTTATTTTTACTTTTGGCATAAGGAACATTTTTGAAAAATTTTTATTGCACCTGATAATGACTTGCTATGACAAAATTTTTGAATGGCAGAAATGATGTGAGCACTAGGCAAAGTCCTAAAAATATGAATTGAAATTTAAGTGCCACTACTTTAAGACTTAAGCAGGCAGGTTAGTATTTTGAGCTCTATTTTCCTCTTCTATTAAAAGGCCATAATATATCTGATATCCTTCTTCCATTAGGGTTAGAAGGAAGGATTAAATAAATAATGTCTTAAACATATTTAGGTGTTCATTAAATGAGTATTTTATCTGGATCTTGAAACAAAAAATTTAGCTTGGGAAGACAATTTGTAATTTTGAGTGTGTCATAGCTAAAATTCAGAACAGACTTCCATTCTTTCTCCCTTGTTTAGCAAGCCATTGACATGCTCCCCCCAGAAAGATCAAACTCACTAAAATAGTCTACTTCTACAAACAGAAAATTATGAACTATATGCATTAATCCTTTCTCAAATTCTTACTTTCCTATTATCTTGATAAACCCATCAAAACAGATGGATTATTTACAAATTCTATAATATGTTTCAATATTTCTCATTTTGAACTCTTCTGAAATTCCTTTTAATGGTGTCTGTATTCTTTTATGGATGAGATTACAACATTTCAAGGGAACTCTTTTTATATTATGTAAAGATAAAAAGCACCTGAGTTTCACTAAAAAGAGTTTGTCATAAAAAGAGTTTGAAGTGATGTATGAGGCTCTCAAACCAATATATTTTATATCTCAGCATAAGGTCACAAAGATTATGGACTTTACCTTTCAAAAGACAGTGTATCAAACAAACTGTCACTTTGTTTGTATAGTAGATTGTTAAAATAATGTTCCCCAAGGAACCATGCTTTCTCCCTGTCTCTGTCCTATTGAGGTGTGCCCTGCAGCTTTTTTCATGAAGAAATGAGATCTATTTCACTACCCTTGAATATGGCATTGCCTTGTGACTTGCTTTGACCAATAGAATGTAGCTAAAACTACATTGTATAACTTCAGAAGCTAAGTCTTAAAAGCTCATGCAGAATTTAGTTTCCCCTTATTGGAACACTGCTGAGAGACTACAGGTTTAGCTTCTATAAGGATGAAAAATCACATGGAAAGTGGGGCATATCCATCTGAGCACCCCATCTGTCTCGCTCCCAGCTTACTTAGAAGCCAACCCAAGAAATCATACTGACCCACAGAATTTTGAGAAATAAAACTGGTTGTTTTAAGTTATTAAATTTTGGGATTATTTGTTATATAGTAATAGATAACTAATAATAATTTTGTTTGTGATAAAATCATTGCTTTAATTTTAAATCATATAAACTTGATAATATTCTTTATATTCTTATCTGAGTATTTTCATGAGTATTAAATAAATAGGTTCAAATTTTCATAAGATATAGAATAGACATTTTTATTTCTATTTATTTAAATAGTTCCTTCAATTTACCCTAAATTGTGGAAATCCTACCATGACTATAATCTATGAATTTTCAAAAGTAAATCCATTACTAAAAGATATATGAAAGAGAGAAACTTTAAAATATAATTTATAAATGTATGAAATGCTAGGAGGTAAAAACACTATAGCAACCAAGCAACGATTACATTATGCAGATCTACCATTCATATCTTTTGTGGATCTCCTTCTCTTGAACAAAGTGACTGTAGGCATTTATTAAAATAAGTTATTATAACATATTATTTTAATGAGTTATATAAATTATTACACTTTTGATTATAATTAAGTTAGTCTTATCTACACTTTGATCAGATCCAAAGGAGAAAATCCTTATGGATGTTAAAGCAATAAAAAAAGTTACGCTTTTACTAATACCACCATGAAAAGAAGGTAAAAATAATGGACCTAGAGAAAGGAAGAATAAAATGCTCAATAGAATAATAGTTTCAATAAAAGATTTCTGAATATAAATTCAACTTTACTACAAAGTATAATGAGAGTCTAGTGACAAAACTATAATTCACAAATAATTTGATTATTTTGATCACCACAAATTTCCAAAGAAGAAAAGAAACTCAAATGTTGCTCATAGAGAAACAAAGTTTACTTTCAGCAGTTTGTCCTTTTTTATAATAAATTAATCAAAGTAATTGCAAATTCTGGAATGAGAAATTCCTTGGTGAAATATTTGTTCATCTGTATATTAACTGCATAACCTCAGGCTTTTTCATGTCTCTAAGCTTAAGTTTTTCATTTTGCAAAATGGAGATGATACAAGAAACTACCCCATAGGGTTGTTATGATAAAAAAAAAAAAAAACATACTCAGAAGAAAAACAGCCACCAATAAATGACACCCATTAAAGTGACTGTTTTCATTTATATCATTAGTGCCTATTTCTAATTTTCATAACAAATATGTATTAAATTTGTTTCCAGGAAAAGTGACTGGGCTCTCCCAGAATGTTTTACAAATAGTTTATTACAAAAATTCAAAAAGCACATAATTCTGAGCTTATACACATTTTCTCAGAGAAGAGAAAATGAAAATATGTTCCCAGCTCCTTTTATGGGACTAACATAACCTTCATACAAAACTCATTAAGGATCATTTTACAAATGACGTTTAGACACTAATTTAATTGGTTAGCATGGTTGAAAAATTATCTAAAATTTATTAGCAAAACCAAGTAATGTATTTTAAAAAGAATAATCACTAAGTTGAAATTATTCCAGAAATAGATTATCATGTTAAAGGAGAATAATGATATTATTTCAAGGGATGCAGAAAAAGTATTTGAGAGAGAATTTAACATCCACTCGCAGTTAAAAAAAAAAAAAAAGAAAGAAAAAAAGATAGAAAACTTTAGAAAAGCTTAGGACCAAAGAATTCCTTAACCTAAGGCAAGTTAATCATCTTTAAAATAACCTAGAGAAAATAAATATTTAATGAGCACATATTGAAAGGCTGTTCTTAAAATTAGGTACAAATATGGATGTCTTCAGTATTTTTCTGGAAATCCTAAGAATTAAAGATGGAAAATCTAAATGAAGCGAATAGCATTGAAAAGCAAGAAATAAAATTGCCATTGTCTATATATCATCAGATTCTCTACAAGGAAAATTCAAAAGATACTTCTTTTCTCCCTAAATGACTTTTCCTTAGAGGATCTCATCCATTTATATGATTTCTAAAATTAAATCTCTTCTTCAGTATCCACTATGAGCTCCAATTTTATATCTCCAACTGCATAGTCAATATCTCCTATTAATTTCTAACTGCTATCTCAAAATTAAGATGTCTAAAACTAGTTTTTTTCTGATCTAAACGTTGTGTCTCTCCCATTCTTCCAAGCACTGTCTACTTAGAACGCAAACAAAAACTATGAGTCATTGTTTCATCCTCTGCATCCAGTCCATAATCATGTCCTGTTGGTTATACTCCCTGAATATCTCAGCCTTATACACTGCCACAACACAACCCTAGGCGGTGCCATGATCCTCTCTCACTTAGGCTATTTCAATGAACTCTCTTTCCATCTTTTCCTGGATATTCAGAAGCTGTATCTATAAGCTTACTTCTGCTCTTCATATCCCCCCAGCACATTTGCAATAGTGATTGTCCTTTGTGTATTATAGGTGGTGGCTACAACTTCAGGCCTCCATTGTCAGCCTAAATTCACTGGTTTTCTTTTTCTAATACACAAATGGCAGCTTTCTTTTATAATATCACTATTTTTGA